TATCCTTCCCTCTATTCTGTCTGTTAAATCCTGCATGGCCTCTCTGATAAAATCCTATATGCCAATGGTCGGGCTTTTTTGTTTTCTTTTGGTAAATTATAGTAACATTTAGCGAATTTCCTTAATTTTACATGTTTTTCATCAGCTTTGCAATAATGTGTGGGTGTTTTGTTGTGAGAGTTTGTTTTAAAAATGCCTTTAATTACTATTTCATAAGAACTTATAGGTGCTGTAAACCTTTTTATGCAAGCAATAAGACTATTTTCCTATCGTTTTGGGAGTAGCTGTAATGTAATTATTATTTCTATAAATGATCATTTATAACATTTCGTTTAAAAAAGATGTTTACACGTGTATTTATAAATATCCTGAATTGAAGGTCATGTTTCACATGCATTATCTGGAAAACTCAGCTATGAAGAATAACCTCAGGTGATTCTGCTCTGAAGGTGCAATAACAAGCTGATTATTATTTTCAGATTTTAATATTGCAAAATTTATTCACAATAAAAAGTATTTCTTTTCTATTCTTAAATATTTTAGATACATTTATTTCCGTTAAATTCTAAACTCAAAGTTTAAAAAGATGAGTGTCCTGCTTTTTTTTTTTTTTTTTGGCTGGTTCAAGACCAAAATAAAATGAAACGGATTTTGACACTAAAACCAAGACATTTAATTATTTATCTTTGTGACCTTATTTTGTTTCCGTAATTGCATTTTAAAGCCTCATCAGGCAGTTGTTTCTGCAATTCATTATATTATCTTTTTGAAATAAAGGGATTTTTTTTTTCTTTTTTCCCGGGACACTAAAGACAAACTCAGGGTATCATGATTATTTTTCGGCCGTCTCTTTTCCTTTTTTTTTTTTTTTTTTTTTAGCTCCTCCGCTGCTGTTTATTGCCGCTTTATTTTTCTACAACTTATGGTTCCAAATCAAACAGCCATTGCTCTGTTCATCGAAAACAACTGTTTTCACTCAGTAATACCTCTGTGGCTTTAAACATTTGCACAAATCGCTTTACCTACCTGCCATCTGTTAATAAAGTTATTCCTTCTCATTCAAGGCTGAAACATATTTTCATTTGTATTGATATTTTTCCATCTGTGGTAATATAGTTCATCTTAGTGAGGTTTTAACTTCTAATAATTTAAATGCAGGAATCAGTATTATCTCTTATAAGACAGTAAAAAGAAATAACTTTTGTACAGTTATTTTGTGTAGCTGAATGGTTTATTCCTCAACACATCTGTGTATGCGCCTCGCACATGAAGATTTCTATGTATTTTATTAGGATATTAAATGACATCCTAACCTCGACAACAGGATAGTTATAAAATAGAATGAAAATTATGCATTTCTGTGCATTTGTACTTTGTTGGACCAACTTTCAACGTACCGTAATTACAGCTTCTAGTGTATTTCTATTCTCTGGACAACTGCTGTTCAGAGATTAGGTGTTAGTCCTGTGGTTATTGAGTAAATTTTGTTCAATTTTGTTTCCAAGTAAAAAGCATGTTCTGTAAATTAAATTTAAAAAAAGAAGTCCACACTGCAAAAAATTGAAATCTAAATAAGTCATTTTTTCTTGCAATAAGTGCATTTTTTCTTGAATTGAGGAGGTAATTGAGACACTTTGCCAATGGAACAAGACAATTTACATTTAAAATAAGAAAACACAATTGCATTGTTTTATTTCAAGTGAATATTATCTAATTATCTTATTTTAAATGTAAATTGTCTTGTTCCATTGGCAAAGTGTCTCAATTACCTCCTCAATTCAAGAAAAAATGCACTTA